CCCCCCCCCCCCCCCCCTTTTTCTCTCTCCATCAATCAATAAAATATTTATATTTTTATGAATAAAATATTTCAATTCATTGCATTATCTCATTAAAGTTTGAAATTCGTTTTAGTAAGTTTATATGTGCATTAAGAATTAACGAAAAATGTAGAGATAATTGGAGCTGAAGTCAAATTTAAAAAATTAATCAAAATTCAATTGAAAAATGTTTAATTTTTTTAATGACAAATTTTCTAACAGAAATTAATAAGAACAAAATTGAAAACAACAGCTCAATCCACTGAACATATTGATTAAAACATTTATTTTTCTCGAAAATAAATATAAATGTAGGGAAAAATGTTTGTGGGAGCCCCAATAATAACAAGCCACAAGATAACATGATCCAGAATTCGGGAACCATACAACCGTACGGATGAAACGCTGCCATGAACGTCGTTTAATCATTCCAGCCACATGACATGCATACATACATTGAATATATTATATATTTTTTTTACATTTACCAACCTCTCGTGACCCACCGTCGCCGCCTTGCGCTACCAACCGCGCCGCCGTGACTTTTTGACCACCTCTACGACGGCTCACAGTGAAACGAAAATATGGAAAAGGAACACAAAATAGAAGGGTGATTTTGGGAATTTTTTTCCCTCCACCAGACGTTCTTCAATGGAAAAACTCGATCGCCGATGTGTGATTGTGCTAGTGTCTGCCGGAAGGGGACCAAGGAGTCATGTCCATTGGATAGCTTCCCAAGACTCGGAGGAAGGATGTGAACTCCTGGACTTCTGCTAGAGCGTTTTGTGCCCTAGTTTCGGCCATGGAGGCTTCGAAATCGACGTAGAACATGTACTCGAAGTGCTTCGCTGTTCCGACGTTGGCGTCGTCGACGAGGCGAATAGGGCAATTTCTGTGCGGCCTGGATTCGATCTTCGTCAAGCTGATGTTGCGGAAGGCGAAAGCGGAGAGTACCTTGAATAGCGCGGATGTTCCTTTATCGTGAGCGAACACGATGCTGGTTTTGAACGGTCGATCTGTACGGGGAATAATCGGATCTCGGGCTAACATAACAAATCGGGTCACGTTATTCGAATCGTCCTGAATACCGTCTGCTATGACCTGGAGGCCGTACAGTTCTGCGGCGCGTGCGCTCGCTATCGCCGCTGTATCAAGGAGGTTGTTCGCCGCAATGTACTCCGCCGCGCCGGCGGTATCGTCGACAGCCTCACGAGTGACATTGAGCCCTAACTTCGTCAAAGTGAGTTCGCACTGCGCTAGGGCTTGGGGATGCGAAATCACTCGATTCAAGTACTCTTTTCGGACTCCTGGAAGGGCCAGAAGGCAGTGGTGAACCGGTAATTGAACCTCGCCGACTATGTGAAGCCGATGGCGGAGCAGGAGATCATAATTCCTGTGGATCGAACCGCCGAGAGAGTTTTCAACCGGTAAAACCGCTCGATCGGCGATCCACAGCTCCACCGCTTGAAAAGCCACCTCAAATTGATCGCAGGGAATGGCATCGCAATTAGGATACGCCTTTCCGGCAGCAGCTTCAGAATAGGCTCCCGGAACGCCTTGGTACGCCACACGGAGCTTCTCGCCGTGCATCGGAGCCGGAGAGAAGTCAGTAATCGTGAGCGGCTTAGGTTGCAGCTTGGTTATATTATAAGCATCTGAAATTTTCCCAATCCGAACCAGATTAAGATTCTCAACATTCGTCTTGTGGCCATTGACCGATGCAACATGGCCGGCACCGCCTCCTCCAGCAGATAAATCTCCAGATTGCTGTTGAGAAACGACGTTGCTAGCAAGGATGGCGCAGGAGCTTTGCCAATCAGCTCGGGAGAGACCAACACCATTCTGAGCGCTGAAAGATTCAGGTCCATGGACACATTGAACGGTGAAGAAGTGGACCGGCAGAAGGCGAGGAAAGGAACGTCGGTGGTGGAAGGTACGGAAAGCCGGCACCGGAGAATAAGGACTGAAAGCCTGCATAATTAATGGAGAGAAAAAAAGTAGAAAGAAGAAGACCCAGCTTGGTGTTCACTTGAGAAAGGGAACCTCAAGCTGAGAAACCAAAAGAAACAATCACCAAGTATATATATCAAGAGAAAAAAGTGTTGGAATTGACGAATTGTTTCTTAAAAATTAAATAAATAATTAAAAAATAGAAAATTGCTATTCATTAATTAATTTTCGTATTGGCGAAGAGCAGATGAAATGGCTCACCTGAATCGAACGAGTTCAGAGCCAGCTTGGGACCAGCCGCTTCGTCTCCGCCTTCGCGGGCCATTATTACAGAGCTTCTTAACCTAACCCTCTAAGAAAACGGCCCCAAGAAAAAGAGTTTCGAGGGAGACAGGTCAGCCAATGGCGAGTCACTCAAGCCAACTGGGCATGCCTTCAATATAAATATTTTTTATAACCTTTTATTTATTTATTTATTTATTTTGCAATCAATATCTATCAAAATAGGGGTTTTTTGGTAAATCACAACAAATTTATTTCTACTCTCGTAAAATTAATTCGAAAAATTATTTAAACATCATTTATAATATATTCATATGAACAATTATTATGCATTAATGGTTATAATGTGTACTATAATTTTATTTAAAAATTGATTTAAATACTAAATTGCACACGTTCACATTTAACCGTATCTACAAGGTGACTTATTGAATATTTTATATTACTAAAAAAAATATATATATAAAAAATAATGTATTTTTGTACGAGGATAATGATCATAACAGATTACGTAATAATTTCAATATATTTTTCTTGTCGTGATTGTGTGTTGGTAGGGAGTAGGTATTTCTTTCCTTAGAGCGTGTTTAATTTAAATATTTGATTAATTCGACCATTAGATCATATTTTAAAAGTTAAATTAGCGAATAATTTAATGAAAAAAAATCTAGATGTTAAAAAAAATAATAATAATAGAAACATATATGTGAAGGTGAAAGATAATGTGATGTCATATGGGGGCGTGTTAGTTGTGAGTTGTGATTGTGGTGGCGTTGGAGGAGGGAAGCGTCGACAAAGGGAGATAAGCGGTAGCTACGGCGTCGTTTTGATCCAACGATTCACAAGGCTCCACGTCACTTCTTCAACTACCACAAATTGCCATACCTACCCCCTCCCTCACCTACCCATCGTTCTTCCTCTCTCACCCATCATTAAAATAATTGAATTCTTCGTTACTAAAATAAGTTTCCAAAAAATCATTAATATTTAAATTTTAAGAAATTATGTCGACATTATATTATATTATATATTTTTTAATGGTATGGATTTATTATGATGCTGTGCATTTGTTTAATATAAATTATATAAAAAAATCATTTAAAATAAACATTTTAAAGATGTATATATAAAAATAAAAAAATAAATAAAAAATTACAAACTCAAACGCAAAAATAAATGAAAAGTTTATGTGGATAGAAAATAAATAGAAAGTAGGGACATAAATGGAACCCAATATGCCTCTAAACATCTCTGAAACAAGATGCCTATAAAAATTAGGTTATATTATAAATTTGGAATTAAATATGATTACTTAGAATCTATCAAATTATACAAACTATTTATAAAAAAAATTTAATCTAATTTCTCTCTCTCTCTCTCTCTCTCTCTAGATATATATATATATATATTTTATCTTTTCTAGAACACTTCTTCTCCCACAGATAATTTTTACCATTGGCTAAATCAATTTTGACTAATATAATATATTCTAATCTTATAAAAAATTAAATGTTTTAGTGGTAGGGAAATAAAATATATATTTTTCATTTTACGAGAAATGATTGTTGGATGGAAGTCCTACATCGACTAATTTAGAGCTTATACTCAAAGTGAATAATATCATATTAGTGTAAAGTCGTATTCATCTAACATGGTATCAGAGTCTTGATTAAAGGGAGACGAGGCTAATTTAAAGAATGATAATGATTTTTTTTATTTATGGTAGATTTTATTTTAAGAACTAAAAAAAAAAAAAAAAACAATTTAAATAATAAAGATTTCCCGCCCCATAATATATAATATATGTTACGAATAATATTAAAAAATGCTTAATAAATCTTCAATTAAGAGATGTGGATAGTAATATATTCACAGCCATACAAAAATTGAAATTACTGAAATAATAATAATAATAATAATAATAATAATAATCATAATAATAATGAAATAAAAAAAACAAAATAAAAAATAAAAAAGGAGTGGCGCGAAACTGCAACGCACGGGAAGCGGAAAGACGAATTAGGAAAGTCCCCGATGTTCTCTCTTAATCTTACCCCTACAGCCCATCACTCGTACTTCTCCCTCCCCCAGAAAAGGTTCGGCTGCTTTCCGGCGAGGTTTCCGATCGGTTCCTTCACTGTTCGATCGTCATCCAGTCTTCAGGAGGTTGAGAAGTTTACAGAGTCATCGGCTGAAGGGAAGGATCTCAATTCGGAGCTCTACGCTTCGGTTCCGTTGCCTCCGATCAAGACTTCAAAGAGAGTGGTTCTGGTTAGGCATGGACAGAGCACGTGGAATGCGGAAGGTAGAATTCAAGGAAGCTCCAATTTCTCTGTTCTCACTAAGAAAGGCGACGCTCAGGCAGAGACCTCCCGCCAAATGCTCTTCGATGATGCATTTGATGTTTGCTTCAGCAGGTTTCCTATATTTTTAGTTCCATTTCGCTTCATTACTAAGCGATGGCGAATTTCGGAAGTGATTTCATCTCTATCAAAACAAAGTTTGTTCAGCACTATTTGCGTCTATTGCATGAACTGACCTAATATTTGCTTCATTACTTAAAACATGGCATTGTCTAGACATGGAATTTACCAACAGTGAACAGGTGCAGTTGATTATGGGTATTAATGGACGTTTTTCATTAAGGAATGCATACTGTAATTTTAACTCCTTGTCTAGCTTGACTGAGATGAATTATGCTTCCAGCCCCCTAGTGCGATCAAAGAGAACTGCGGAAATCATATGGGGTGATCGCGAGGAGGCGATACTTACGGATTCTGAACTGAGGGAGATAGATTTGTATTCATTTCAAGTAAGATCCCTTTCATTACCCTTGGGGGGGGGGG